TTTGGCAACTACCAAAACTATAAAAAGGTGACTTCATGATAATGAGTTCTTGAAGCTGGGTTGTCCCAGCTGTGACATGCTGTGTGTGTGTTGTGTTGTGTGTGACATGTTTTTTATGTCTCATTATACATAAAAAAACAAAGATCTTTTGCAACAGTTACCTGACAAAGTGGGCATCCTTGAACTGATTATAGTACGCCAAGTAGCTAATTTATGTATTTACTTACTTTTGCTGCACTCATTTTTTTGCCACACTCCAGTAAATATTCCAAGCAAACAACACAAAACAGTATGCTTTTATTAGGCACGTAATACATGGACGCTTGATGATAAGTTGGCAAAACTTAAAGCGACTACGATCACCAAGCTGGTGTAGCGTTTTCAATTTCGCTCAACGCTTGGATTTGGATCTAACCTAACATTAAAAAGTCTTGTATAGAGTTTGAAAGACTAATTATTTATATGCCTTATTGTTACTGTAGGAAAAATTTAATGTGTAACGCGAGTGCAAAGTACCACTTCGCCTACCAGTTACACAAATAACGATTGTCTCATAAGATCTTCTGAGATTGATTTTGATTTTCTGTAAGCAGTTTTTGAAGTTATTTTCATATCAAACCGCCCAAACTACGTATTGCCGATATGCTAAAATGTGCTTTATTTACACTGACCTTTTGTAATAATTCTAAAAGAAAAGCCTAATAATCAGGAAGAAAGTGTCAAAAGTTTTCAAAGAGTTGTTTAGCCTCCGGATTACTACATTATACAGTACTTATAATGGTTTACAATACCTGCACTTGCAGTAGGCTAATCCATTGTTACTATTATGGCAACTAATTCCGGTTCTTCTGAACCATCATCAGTCCTCAAAGTTTCAGGCAATCACTTCATTCGAAGGTTGTTAACAGAGTTCAATAAATAAAAAATATACGACACACGATAACATAGAACAGACATACTTTTACAAAAAACCACACGCAGGGACATTGTCAAAAAATGAACATGACCAGGCTGAAGTAAAGTCTACAGACCTTTCTTTAGACGACTCTACCAAGTTTGTACGCCCAACCGTAATTTACTTAAAATTTTTATTTTGTCAATTCCTTCCGTGTGTTTCACGTTTCTTCAAAGTGTGTGTCCATTCTATATTATCGTGTGTCGTATATGTTTTATTTTTTGAACTCTGTTCATTAAGACCTTTGAATGAAGTGATTACCTGACACCTCGAGGCCTAATGATGGTTAAGAAGAAGCAAAACTAGTTGACAAAACAGCAGCAAAGGATTACTATATGCAGGTATTGAAAGAGTCAGTTCAAACTAATATATGTTGCATTTAGCAAATGTTTTATTAAATTATTCAAGCTTTAAAGATTATTAATAATTTTCAATAAATGTGAATGTTTAGTGATAATAATATTCTATTCTACTGAATAATCTTTATCCAAACTGCCAGGCAATCAAAACAAGATTTTGAAATATTTGCTTTAATAACCATTTATTTATTTCTTTAAGTGTTTTGGCTTCAGAAAACCGATAGTGTTACAAAATCACATTTTATAATGCATCTATCTTGCCTCTCTCACAATACAGTAGAACTGCAACTATCCGAACTCCAACTATCCAAATCGCTGACTATCTGAATCACTTACAGATAATATTAAAAACTAAAAACTACAGAAATTGTTACCTAACAAGAATTGTTATTAATGAAGGCAGAAGCCATGATCGCTCAAAATCCAAAACCTCTCTTGCAAACGAGCAGACGCATTCTTCTTTATCTCCTGCGGTCATGGATATGTCGTTACAGTTTTTTGCGATAGCAGTAAAATATTGTACATCTTATTCTTCCACGATCTTAAAGACACCATCATTGTTTCCCACGTTCACGGAAACATCATAACCGTCTTCTGTGATCGCGGCCAAATCTTGATCATCATCCATGTAGATATGATCATCTGCCGTGGTGACGGAACACCGTGATCTTTTCCCAAGATTGCAGAAAATTCCTAAGTATCCTCCTAAGTCTTGAAGGCATATCTTTGTCTCCCACGTTTACGTAAAAGCATAATAACCCTCCCCAAACGCGGCAACAGCAAGAATTTTTCAATTGCTAAATCTTTGCAGATGCACTCTGCGATCACAATAGTAAAAGCTCGGCTAAACTGTCTTTTTTCTCTAAAATACTCCCAATTTTTTGTAAAATAAAACGGACCAAATTTTTGATTATCTAAAGGTATTACATATTTCTGGTGTGATTCGGATAATTGGAGTTCTATTGTACTCAGTTATCATATTACAAGTGTTGTCACTTTTTTTGTAGGTGGAAAAAGAGTTGGAATGTGGTCACAAAGTAAAGACCACGTGTTCTACCGTCACTCCTGTATGCGACCTACCTTGTGAACTTGACTTGTCCTGTGGTCACAAGTGTGAAGACATGTGTGGTGCTAAGTGTGATTTCAAGAAATGTAAAAAACTGGTTGTCTCCAAAACTAAACCAGGCTGTGGTCATGATCCAGTGATGGCACCTTGTTCCTTCATCCTTACAGGTTTGTATTAATTTAGTACTGAGTTGTGCAAAAAAACTGGAGGAACTACAAGGTCTTCCTCATTCTGAGAAGGTTCTTTTCTCAGGGCCGCTTTGAAAATTGGGCCTGGTGGTCCCTAGCCCAGGGGCGCAGGTTTATGTTTATGAGGGGTGCAAGGTAAATATAAATTCCCCCACAAGGTAGGTAAAGAGGGAGCGGGAGCAATCATATCTCACACCCATTGCGCATCACATGCAAACTACATGCCTGCTTGTTCTAAGGTTGGTATGTATTGTTTAAAGACTACAGGTCTCTTGTCAAAACTCTTCAATCTGCACCAAACACTTCAATATGCATCTTGTCCAAGTTGATCATCGACACTGTACACTTGGTAGAGTTGAGCTGACTATGAAAGCGGAGTGACAGTAGAATTGAGTAAGATCAGTGAAGGTTTGTTGCTGACTGACATAAACTATTTCATTAGTCAGGATTTATTAAAACCCAATGGTCAATGGCAGCAACTGATATTCAGCTGTCACGGACGTTATCCCGTTAACACAATTAAAATCAAGACATACGGTATTAAAATTTGTTTTACTAGCACTAATGTTTCTAAACAAACTCAATACAATTACCCCATTCTCATGCTAACCTTTCTTCTAAAAAGGAAAAAGAGTTGTAAATAACCTTAAACACTCAAAACGACAAGTCTCACGCCTACCCCTGGTTCTGTCGGGGGTTCGAGTAGCACAGGGCAGTCGGGCAACTACATTCGTTCGTCACGGGTGTTTTCACTTGAGATTTCTTACATTTACACCAGTTTCGTCGCCTTTATAGTCTCCCATTTTATTTGAACTTCTACATTACCGTATATATTATTTTCATTAATTCATTTTCATTCATGCAGTTGTCTCAAGTTATAGCGAATATACAGGGTGTCTGGTAATCAGTGTTACACATCTTTTTGGTGTAAGTACAAAGTAAATAAAGTGTGATGATGCTTATAAGAGGTCCCAAGTCTAAAAATTAGCTTCCCAAAGAGTTATTTTAAGTCTTATTAAAATATTAACAATTTTTTTAACACAATACAGCAGTTTTTTTAATTACCTGTAAATGGATTTGAGTAGATGATGTCATTTTCGTGGTCTACATTAAATTTTGAATAAGAATAATGGAAATTGACGGATGATCAATAGAAAAAACTACATTTTAAAACATAAAAATTAACGTCTACGATAAAAAAACATTAGTCTAACAGAACTAATGTTTGAAGAGTTTTTCCTTTTTACTATGTTTAGGTCGTGGCTTGATTTTAACATATGCTATGATTCTTTGTTTTGTTTACATTTAAGTTGTTATTTTGTAATCATCATGGGAACCCATAAGGCCAATGTTAAAATGTAAAATATAAAAAATTGAAATTTGTTTTGCCCAAGCCTTCCAAACATTTTGTCAAAACAACCTTGGTAAGTTTGGCTAAAATATGTTCAGCCGTTATTGAGTTAATGTGTTAGAAAGTTCGCATTGAATTCGATCCCAAAGAGCTTTGCTTCGCTCAATAAAGGGCAACTGGGTGTATTTCTTCAATAGTGAAGAAATTTTTGAAGTCGGATTTGGTTTTGAATTATAACCAGTATATCTATTACGTTTTCTTTTGTAACTTAAGGGATATCACCGCCCAAGACGGCGTGATAAATGCAAAAGGAATTAAAAAAACACATTTATCCTAAACAAAATTCGTATAGAATATAGTGTATTGATTACTGGTGTATTGATTCATTTAATAGTGACGACTGCTGTCATCAATTGCAGGGAGGTGGTCTCCTACGATACCTAATAGCTCTAACCTTGAAAACGCTAACGCAAGACAGGCTAAGACAATAAAAGGCATAACCAATGAAAATTGAATAAAAGTTTAAAGACAGTATAAAATGTTAAGGTCAGCCAATTTTGGTTCTTAATCTTATACTTTTCACCGTCTTTACCCTTGGGTTACTTCTAACACCTTCTAAGATACCCGTGACGTACATTTGTGCCATAGGCAATATACAAGACATACTCAGAAAAAACATTTACAACTGTAACACTAAAACATCCAAAGCCTGCGTCCGCCATGCCATGGACAAACTTTCTAAAGATGCAACAAAAATTGTTATAAAAGATAACGACATACAGATTAAATTCTAACCAATTTTCAAAGAGGAATCGTAAGCATTGTATTTTACCTTGATTAACTAAATTTATTTTTATATAGGCCTACATAATACATTATCATGATTATTTTACTAACTGAATGAATACATTCATACAAGAAGACTTATTTAAATATTTTTTCGTGTGAAATCGCACAGGTCCGCCTAGTTTAAATTTATTAAGGTACAATTCTTATTCTTTTATTCATCTTATTCTCTGAGTTTTTTTACTTTAACTATGTTATTCACAGAGGATGTGTCAACAAACCTAATACAGTTCTGTAAGGTGAAGTGTGGCGCTTTATTGCAATGTGGACACCACTGTAGCGGAGAATGCGGGAATTGTAAAACCAAAAAAGCTCATCAGTTATGTCAACAACCTTGCAAAGTGGCCAGGCCTTGTGGACATCAGTGAGTTTTACATTTACTAATAATTTATGAAGTAATAACCTTATTTATACCATCTTACGCAGTAAGACTACAAACTTGGTGTTCATGGTTCAACCGTGTCAGAGACATAAGCTTTTGCTGAAGTTTCGACCTTGTTACAGACAGCCACCATCGGAGCAAATAACCGGTAAGTATCTGGTGCTACTACTAGCACAAAACTTGTTTGGTTTATCTGTAACAAGGCCAATCAATCATCAGCTTAGTTAGCTTATAAGTTTATGTATATGACACTCCTGAAGACCAAGTTTGTAGTGGTTTTGTTAGTAACCATGTAAGCCTACGTTTATACTCAGTAGGCCTACTATGAATTAGTAGGGGAGTGAGCTGGTCTAGTTGGTTAGAGCGCGGTACATCAGTCCCTGAGGTCCCGGGTTCCAATTACGCCAAGTCACCAATGGATTTTATCTAAGTGATATTGTCAAAACCCCCATGCCTGAAGTAATGGGAAAACTATCCAGGGCTCGTGCCTATAGTGTGCTAGGAAAAAGTACTAGAGACTCGCTTGAACAAATCATCCAAAAAGAGCCCTTACAATTCCCCTGTCTGTAGTAAAAAAATTAAAAACTCATCTCAACCCTGTAGATTTTAAAACATTTCATCAATTTGTTTGTTAATTTAACAGGTGTACAAAAAAATGTCACGAGGAATGTGGATTGTGCAATCAGAAATGCTTGAAGAGGTGTTCACACAAGAAATGTGATCAAGTTTGTGGAGAACCATGCAATATTTGTCAGGTAATAATTTGTTATATTTGAGCTAATATAACTGCAGGAAATCTTACCAACCATATGATTGAGTAGCAAAGCACCTATCAGTTAAAGACAGAATCAGTGGAATCAACCACAAATGTTGTACGATTCAACAAAATAACGCAAAAAAAGGTTCAACCTAAAGTCTAGATTTAAACATATGAAGTAGGATAAAATACAATATAAACTTGTAATCTGGTAATACCTGTCCGTTGGGAACATCATTTAATTTTTGGATAAAATTTGGCAATTTTTATTAACCATAATCCCATTTTTAAGCCTACATGTTGGTTTTGTCGTTTTGTACAGATTGATCGAAAGCTTTAAAATTGATATGAGTTCTGTTCAACTTATTCTCTCTGAGTACAAGGAGCATTATATTATTTATTGCCTGTGCCAGCCCAACTGACGATTTTTCATGCCTGTGAAAGATAATTTCTGTTGCCTCTGTGAGTCCAATAGAGGCCAATAGTTGATTTTGATGGCTCTATGAAGATTGCACACCTATAAGAGTGTTTCAAGTGAGTCACTTCTGGTTACAGGAACTATGTGACCGCGGCTGCATACATCAAAAGTGCAGCCGTCCGTGTTTTGCTGTGTGTGAACGCAAGCCTTGCTCCCAGCCCTGCCCCTCGCCCCTGGCCTGTGGACATCCGTGTCAAGGGTTTTGTGGAGATCCGTGTCCGGAAATATGCCTGCAATGTGAACCTCAGCTTGCTTCCATCATGAAACCCAATCAAAGGTACTTTTATTCATATTGTACTTCTGAAATAGTATTTGATGTCAAGCACGAGTGAGTACTACGACTATCCGCAGTACCATCCTGATAACTAGACCAATTCGTATGTACCAAGGCGAAAATGTGGTTCGAATTCCACTGTAAACTATGGTCCCTCAGTTGCCATATTAGCTGTATGGGCTATTAATTAACAGCTGTGTCTAAGGAATATGTCGGCCTTAGTCACTAACAAGACTACAAGATCGCGCCACTTATCTACACTAAACACTACACTTATCTACATTCATACTTGACTTGAAATACCCACTTTGTATGGTCACAATTTAATTAAAAAGTATACAAGTATAAAAAAGTATAAAGTATGATGATTTAATTTTGTCAATTTGATGTGTTTAGTGTATTTTAATGTCTAAGGCTGAATTAATTTTATGCTACATACTTGAAAATCTTCATACCGTAGAACTTTTTTTGTACACATTATGCAGCCTCAAATTTCTAGTCCACACTTGATCTGTTTGATTCTTGAGATTACAAAATCTGCAAATATAAGATTTATTTTATGTAAAATGAAGTCAGTATATGCTTTGTAGTTGCAGTAGCTAGAGCTTTCTATTCAGAGTAACTTCTCAGGTCTAAGGAATTCCAAGGCGTGTTCTTCGAAGTTGAGGTCTTTACATATGAGTTAAAAGGACTAAAAAATTAAAAACAAGCAACAAAAAACACAAGGAGACAATAAAAAAATAATAACCAGCTAAGTACAAATTGTGGGTGATAGTGAGTCGAGAACACCTACCAGACTAGCCGGGTATCAATACTTTTACACTAGAATCTAAATTATTTAATTTTATGGACAAAACATTGTTTAATGCCTTGCTAGAAATCTTTTGAATCTTGGAGGCAATAAGTTAAAGTGCACAATTTACTTAGAGATAATGATTTTTTTGGGGGGTTGCTAAAGATTATGAGCTTCAAACTTGGTTTCAATAAATTGTTTTCTCAATTTCAGGATTATAGTTTTGGAAGATTGTGGTCACAGTAGTGATGCTGCAATGATGAATACCTTCATCCATAGGAATAAGGGTCGAATCACAAGATGTCCAATACCTTCTTGCAAAACACCAATAATAACTACAAAACGCTTCCACAAAGAAGTGACCGAAGCATTCTCTAACATTATGAAACTTAAAAGGGAAACAATCTTGAAAACTATTCTTCAACCATCTACAAAAATGTGTGAAGAAACAAGACAAGAAAATTTTCATCGCCACACAACAAGTCCAAGAGGAAGGCCATATCAAAATGAATCAACTTCAAGAAATGCATACAATAATCCAGCATGTTCAAGGGAAAGGCAATATCAGCAAATTCAAAATGGAGCCACTTCAAGAAATCCATTTAATTCTTCCACGAATCCGAGGGGAAGGCCTCGTCAGCCTGGACAACATAGTGATCCTCGAAGCAATTCAAATAATAATCCCAGACCGTTACAAGTTAGGCCCTTTGATGAAGGTCAAAGTGAAGCTCCTGCAAGAAATTCAAACACTGCAACTCGAAAACCACATACGTCGAAGAAGAAGAACTATAATACACATAAGGGAACTTTGTTGACTGAAACTGAGCCTAAAACCAGGTTTCGAACAAACGCCGACCGCAATGCGGAGGAGTAAGCTCATTTAGAGCAACTAAATCAATGCTAAACAAATGGATCTAGGAGATTTGTTTTGAAAGTTGTGTTCTAAGATTTGTTTCAATTAATTGCTGTAAGTAACTCATTTTTTGGATACAATATAAAGTTGCCTTGATCAATTTAGATGCTCATATAAGCAAAGAAAACTAACGATAAACCATTAATCTTAGTTTTATTCGACATTCCTTATTTTTAGTCAACTTTATCCATTATATTTCCTGTAAACTGAAAGACAATTCATTATTTGGGTGACTAAGGTGGAAGTAATTTAAAATTATTACCTGTTTGTGAGCAAAGGTAGAATGTAGTTCTTTCCAATAAACAACATAAACACACAAAAGCCTTTTTGATTCATTCTTTTTACTAAAAAACCCTTTTTTGTGCAGAACTTTATGACTAATTTTAGGGGAAATTATCAACAAGGCTTAAATGATTAATAGTTATGAGGTTGAAGGGTATCCAAACGATATTGGGATGCATGAAAGCAACAATCATGGTAGAAGTTAAAAACACTTTCGTCTTACTGAAGCAAAAACACCAGTTTTTTTTAATGCATTGCGAGTCTAAAGTGGCATCAAAGAAGGTAGTTTCCCAAGCTCTTATTTACAGCTTGGCCAAAGCAGTCTTCCTTGCAGTGGTTATAGCACGCAAATTAATTAATAGCTGCACTTAACTTATTTTTGCCTCACTCATTTTATTTTGCCCCACTTCAGCCAACCAAGAACGAAACAAAACAAAACAGTGTGCTTTTATAATGCACGTAATACGTGTACACTTGAAATTAGTTGGCAACACTTAAAGATACTATACGACTAAGATCAGCTGGTGCAGTGTTTCACAGCCTTTTTAGTATTGATACTATGACTTAACCTGTTTGTTTCGTGTTAAAATTCAGCTTTTCCTTCAACGGTTGGATTTAGCCTAATCTAAAATTTAAACAGTTGTTTAGTGTTTGAAAGACTAATTATTATGCTTTACAGCAACTGTAGGAAATATTAATGTGTAACGCGAGCATAAAGTACCACCTCGCATACTTGTTACACAAATAATTATTCCAGCTAATCAAATATAAATACTTACAACCTGGTGATATTTTCTATGTTATGACGACATATATGGCGTTCATAATCAGTCATCGCACCACTCATCCTACACTTATCTCCATTCATACTTGGCTTAAAATACCTACTTTGTATGGTCGCCATTTCATTGAAAATTAAGTATAAAGTCAACAAAATCACCATAACATAATTATTTATTACTTATAATACAATTATAGTTGGCAAATTGAACAATTGAATGACCCTTGTGAGAACTGCTAGTTGGGATAGCCGATAGCTCAACTTCACGCCCTGAAAGAGCGAGCACAGGGAACTGGTGCTCATAGATAATTTGAATATGTCTAGTAACTAAGTTGTACATAAAAAAATAAAAGTAGTTAAATAGTTTTAGCATCCTCATCCTCAGATCCGGATCCCGGCAGTCCACAAATTTCCTCGAAAACATATTTAAATTTCCATTTCTTTTATAGATTATTTAAATATAGTTTTAAACTTTCGAGGAATACATCATCTGAAGTTGTTTTATTTGTCGACGGACTAGTTTGGGATTTTATCCATAAGCCAGTCGGCGAATAACAATGTTAATCATTGTAATTTATCTGCACCAGATCTGACAATCTGTCACAGCAGTTACAAACGACAGTGACATATGTGGCAAATAAACATCTGCGTCACCACAAACAGATGACTGATAATGGCTGTCGATTAGTGGTGAATATTGTACACTCAATAAATGGAGATTATGGTTTGGGGTAACACATGTGTTCTTACTTAAGTTTAAGACAATTCTGTTCCTAATATCAGGACATTAATCCCCGCACGACATCATTTGATACAAATTTAATATTTTTTCCTATTCAACTCTGAAACTTTTACAATGCATATAATAAATGATTAGGTGCAAAAATATGTTAATTTTGCTTAATTGTTAATTGGTGCCACTATTTACGAGTAGTTTAATAGTGTGATGGACAGAATACATTATAATTATTGATAATAAGTTAAAAAATGTATCGTACTCTATGAGAGTACGACTCTCTATATCATTACCTACATTATCTACATCATCACTCATACTCTATTATAGTATGAGAGTATAATATATATTATGAGAATTTAAGACGTGCGGAAATATCATAGCAAATATGTTAAATATTTTATATCATAATTTCATTTGTAAGGAAAAATGTGGATTACTAAACATGTCACATAATATAAGTTATATCAAATACTTTACTTGTCGAACGTTTACTATTTTAAAACATTAATAAATACTACAGTTTTCCAAAAGCTCCACTATGAAGTGTTTAAATAAACACCGATGTCCAAGTTTGTCTATTAATCTAGTTACTGACTCAAGATAGAAAATGTCACCTTTCTAGATTTCAAATGTAGTATTCCACAATGTATTGAACAATATATTATGTTAACTATAACGTTCTTAATTGATCGTAGTTTGAACTAAAATAATCATTTTAACTTATAAGATATGCATAGTTCTATGATAAATCTACAACTACCATAACTATTTCATTAACATGAATTTTTTTTGTCATCAAACAATTATTAATAAACTCAAGGAAAATTTCACAATCGGGTTTAAGGTTTAAAAGGAAAACAAATAGTCAATTATGTGTATATGTTGTTTACTTTTCTGTGATGAGATTAAATGCGATTAAAATATTCAGGTATTTTTCGTAGGGTATTTGGATATTGATATTTAAAGTTTCCACACAAACAAAGTATTTCAAAAATGGAAATGCCAGGAAACAACCATCTAGATGTGGATTTAATAATTTAATTTTAACTAAATACTCGTTATGCCTAAGTACTTTGATACTTAAGCCCCTTAAATTTATATAGAGAAATAAAGAAATAAGAGTATGGAAATATCAAAAATAAATCTTGAAAATGTCAGAAACATAAAATACAATCTACAGACATGGCAAAGACAAGTCAGTGCAAGGAGGGCGTCTTTACAGTTGTCTTTGTGTCTTGTGTACCGCTGTCTTAAGCACTTACAAGATATCTGCAAATTATATATAGAAGAGACAGAGGTCCTAGAACAGCTTCAGTCCAGTGGGGTTTCGGCTCCCTGGACTGAAACATCATAAAACTAACAATACTAGGTTTTTGTCTATGCGTATAGTAAAAAACATTTGTATAATCAATGGAGCGACGTAACCTATACACGCGAATAAAATGTTATAATGTATATATTTATAATGTATGCACTTCATTAC